TAATGTTCTGCTGCTATTCATAGTTTGATTTCATATTTCTTGAATCCATGGTTGGCACCTCTGGAAGCAGTAGTCAGGAGATCAAACAATGAGTTGCATTTGGACAAATATGCTGCAAAAGACCTTTCTGAAATGTTAGAATTCGGGGATGTCACGTTAAGGACTGGGGTGCACTTGACCCAGACTATAATATTTTTGGTCACCTCATATGCATGTGACAATTGGATGGTGAATAAGGAAGACCGAAGAAGAATTGATACCTTTGTATTAGGGTGTTGGCGAAGAATAGTGTATATGCCATGGACTGCCAGAAAGCGAATAAATCTGGCTTGAAAGAAGTTCCAGGCACGGGTTCATTCTGTTGTGTGTGGAATCACTAATAAGTTGGAGCCAACTTGATAGCACCTATACATAACAACTTTTTCATATGCATAGCACCAGAGGTCCTAAAGACTTGTTAAGTAATCATCCATCCAAAATAAACATATGCACAAAGCCCACACAGAAGAAAGAAAGCCTTCTTTCGGAATAGTGGCTAGTGAACTGATCAAAGAATTTCTCTGAAAATCCTTGATCAAAAGGAGGGAATGTGTAAAAGAATTTTCAAAAATTGAGGTACATGATAGGATCTGAAATGGCCATTTTGAGGATTGGGTACGATTCCTTGTTTGCTGGTTCCATTTTCACCCTAGTGGCAGCCATCTTTCATGCTGTTTCTAAGAGAGGAATGTCCAGTGATGATGACATAACTACACTGCGACTAGCCCCCCCTCCCGGCACAGACCCTTGTAATCACCACATTGTAACCAATCTAAGAAAGATACATATATCCTTTTAAGTTAATTGCCTTATGAGCTTGCATTACAGGAAGTCTTGCCTTATAAGTTCCCATCACAGGAAGTCCTGCTTATGAGTTCCTGCCACAGGAAGTCAAACCTTAAAACGATCTACTACCAATTGAGTGGAGTCCTGGTGGCATGGTGGTTAAGAACTTGCTTGCTAATCAAAAGGTCAGCAGTTCAAAATCCACCAGCAACTCCTTGGAAAACCTATGGGGCTCTTCTACTCTGTCCTATAGCATCACTATGAGTCAGAACTGACTCCATGGCCCTTAACAACAACAACCACCAATTGAGTAATGTCTTTTGATGATCTTATCCTGTAATTACAAATCAAGTAATATCTTTCAATGATCTAAGTTTGTAAATACCAATCAAGTAATGTGTTTCATATTCTTTGTTCCCCTCTTATAAAATATAACTGCTGAGTTGCCATTTGGATTTCTGGATTCTAACATATGGATTTTAGTCTATCCCCTGCTCAAGCTGATTGTATGGTTTTTGTTTGTTTGTTTGTTTTTAATAAATCTCTGTTTTACATTAATCACAGTACAGAAGTTTACTCTATGACAATTTTATGACCAATATCATTCATGTCATTCACTTCCATTATAAAGGAGATGATTCACATGGCGAAAATCTATTTTCGCTCTTAGGTTAAAAAATAAAGAACTTGAGAATGCCGTAAGATTTTTCAATCACCTTTTAAAAGGAAAATGGTAATTTTCCGAAAAAGCATTTTATTACACAAAATAAGTCAGAGAGAATAAACACTATAGTAACCTAAAGTATCCCAGCTAATAGCTACTTTTTAATGGAAATATGGCCACGTTCCCTGCAGGTTGCCCACAATGGCCTCCGTCTGATCTCCTGAATGCCTTTATCTGACTCTAAAAGCCTCCGCTGCTCTGCTCTCTCCTCATTGTATTAACAGCCCGAGGTAGGATCATCACAATGTGTGTTATTTTCTGAAAAGCAGGTTTCCTCTCTGCAGGATGTTAATATTAGGATTTCCTGAAAATGAGGAAATTAGGAAACAGTGTAGAATTATGCTTAGCTGAAGTTTTTTTGTTTTTTTGTTTTTTTTCCATTTTAACTCCAACTCCAGGAGGCCCTCAGTTAGTAAAGAAACTCAGGCCTAGTCATACAGTAGCAAGATGAGTGGACACAGTTGTGTGGGGAAGCTCCTGGATAGGGAACCGTTAAGTGTGAATAGGAGAGGAATCCAGAGAGGATAAGGAGGGGTGGGCAGTGCAGATACTTCTCAACCAGATGTGAAGCAGGAAGTGAATCTTCTTCCCCCTATCACCTTGATTCTCTTTGCTGTGCTTTGGATTGTCAGATTCACACCTCATGAACCAGCTGAGGAACATCCTTTTCCACTGGACTCTGGCTGTACATGGTGTGTCTTTAAGGCACCAACAGTAATCAGCAAACAAAAGGCTTTAACTCAGCCACTCTTTCTGTCTCTTTCCCCACCTTTCATGAAAGGTGCAAAGGAATAGAAAAATAATCTAAATAATTCTAAGTAATAAAAATCTTGCTACCTCCCCCAAAGAACTCTCTCCTTTAAATTTGTAAAGTACTTAGGCTCTATATCATTTAGTGCCAAATTATTTTCTTTCTTCGGTCATTTACTCTTGTTTATTAATTTTGCCTTGCCAACTTAAGTGTAACTTCCTAGAGGACAGAGAATGACATAATTTTTGTACCATTTCTCCTCACCACCCCTATGTCTAGTACAGTTTCAAATACATTAAGAGTGTTAATTGATTATAAATGATTTAGTAATAGTTACATACATCATGTCAACCTGCCCTGAATATGTAATATTTGTCAATTGGAACAATCATAGAAGAGACCCTTGGCATGGGTAGGCTTCCTTTGAAAGACAGGAAAATGCAGCCTCAAGCAGAAGCTGCTGTTTGAGGACATGGGCAGAGGAGGTATCCAAGTCATAGCATAGCTTTGCAGCCACCCAAGGAAGGTCATCAGAAGTGGGGAGGTTCAGGGCCCATTGCCCAGAACAATGTAGATGATAGCCCCTGTGGCCAAAAAGAGTTGAGCTGGTGTTTCTGAGGGGAAACCCATTTCATAGTTGTACCATGTGTGGATTACTCCAGGTGCCTGTATCACAGATACCTGGTGGCCAGAAGTGAGGAGGGTTCCCCCTGTCTTCTAGGCAGAGTGGAATGTGTGGACAGAGGAACAGGATGACTGAAGGCAGCAAAGGAATGACTCTGGGGTTAGGGAGAGTATGGGGGTGTGGTCCCATTTATCCTTTTCCAGATGTCAGCACTCTTAGGGGACTTGATGGCATCAGAGGCTTCCACATAGGCCACAGCAGAGGTGGAGTAGTAGGTGAGCCTGGTCCCTTGAAGAATCCCAGGAACTCTGCAGGACCAGAGAACCTGACAATGGAAACATGTTTATTCAGTTCAGTAGTTAACACTTTTCCGAACTCATCACCAAGAGGAATAAGTAGCAATCTTCTTCAAGTGGCTGGGGGGTATAACTTAATAATTTTCATATCTATAAGGTCAACTTTCCCTTAGTTCACTCCTCTCCCTACCTCCCACTCTCCTATCCCCCAATCAAATCCACATGAACCTGAGTTTTATGTTCTTGAGTTCAGGGACATCTCCCTGGGCATCTTTCTCCTCTATTCCATATCTGTCCAAAGAGTTGGAGCAGGAGTTCGAACCATTGATGGGCGCAGCAGTCACCTGTGCCTGTAAAACCCCTTATCTTGCATTCCCAGCAAGCAGCGGAACATCAATTTCATATAAATTCTATATCTCCTTACCTTTATCTGCTAGTCTTCCTTTGAAGAGCATTCTCCAGGGGAGAAGGGGTGGGGAAGATACAAAACAGACCTCCCTAGAAATCCATTGCTGCTTCAGTTTGAACTAGAGTTTAACATCCTCTCCAACTCTAAAGATTCTGTGATGTGCATATGTAAAAGAGATGTCCCCTGGAGTCTTCCTGTCCCTTGAGGTTTAGTTTAGTTAAGAAATGGCTCATTAGTGGTGTCCTTGCTCCACAAGTGGGAGAAATTCTGCCCTTTCCAAACGAAAGGAAGAAAGGGAGGGAGGAAGGGATTGTGAAGTGAGGAAGGGTTCATCACACACAGCAAACACATTCAGCCTTGCCCACCAGGCAGCTTTGTCTCTGGCCTCTTGAGCTTAGAGGTTCCACCCTCACAGCCCCTCAGGGTGCTCCATATCTCTCCCATCTCTCCTTCTCTCCTCCCTCCAAAACTGTTTCAGCACTCTACATTCTTATCTAGATTCTGCAAAGTAATTCAGACAGGCCCACATTTGCCTAAAGAAATCCATTCTCTGATAATGAAGAGGCCTTTTGTTACCAGGCCACTTTCTCTTAAAAAAAATTTTTGTTTATAGTATTTTGTTTTGTTTTAAGTGAAAGTTTACACAACTTTAACAATTTTTATACAAATTGTTTCATGCCATTGGTTACAATTTTTACAATGTGTCAGCATTCTTACTATATCCATTCTGTTTGTTCTGTTTCCATTGATGTACCTTCCCATCCTTGCCTTATCATCTTTGCTTTTGGGTAAATGCTGACCTTTTGGTGTCATATAGTTAATTGTTTAAGGGAGCACATTACTCACTGATTATATTGTTTATTTTATAAGCTAATCTATTATTTGGCTGAAAGGTGTCCTGCAGAAATAGCTTCAAATGCAAGTTCAAAGGTTTTTTAGGGCGATTGTTTCGGGGTTCCTCTAGTCTCTATCAGTTCAGTTGGTCTGGCAGGACACTTTCTTAGAGAGCAGTTGCTCCTGGGAACAGCATTTTCCTCCACTGGATATATATGTTTATAAATTCATTTATTTGGTAAGCAATTTGAAGCAAGTGTCAACTTTCACGGGAGCCTGGGTCAGGGCTTGAGGCCTTGAAGAAGCCCTTACCTGGGCGCCCAGGGCCATGGCCTTGCCCGCCGGGCTCAGAGTCCCGGCCCCCGGGCGGGAGCGCCCGGTTCCTCAGGCCCGGGCTTCTTTGGTCCCGCCCTCCACGCGCCGCGTGGCCGCAGGTGCTCCAGCTGCCCAGGCCAGGGCCGCGGCTTGCGGGGCAGGAGCGGGGGGCGGGGCCCCGCGGGTTTAAAAGCTCGCGGGCCGGGCGATCCCCACCGGAGATGGCTCGAATGCCGGGTTTGCCAGGTTCGCTCTCGCTAAGTCCCCGCGGGGTCCGCGCCTCAGCTGACCTCGCTCGCCGCCCGGACCGCCCTAAGCGCCCCAGGCCCTGCGCGCCCCGCCGAACTCCGCGCCTTGGAGTCGTCCGGCCTCTCGCCACCTCGCCTAGATCAGCACCCCATCCTCGGCATCATGGGCAAGGTACGTGAGCCCCATGAGACGTTAGCGAGGTCTAGGAAAGGGGGTGGAAGCTCGGGAACAGCAAGGAAGAAATGCCGCGTCCCAGAGGACAGAAGGAAGGATAGATAGAAACTGCGAGCTGTCTGGTTTTTGAGCGTGCTCTGACCTCACCACTGTTTATCTCCCCGACGCTGGAGAGTGGCCCCTCCCAGCCGCAAAACGTCCATGGGTCGGACCGCAGTGCAGACTGGAATAAAGAATTCAATCCAAAAGTATGGGAAGGGGCCATAGGGTAGTCTAGGCAAGCTCGAAAAGCATCTGAGAGGAGCGGTTTCGAAGATGGCGATGGCGGTGGAGCGAGAGGCTGGGGGTTAAATGGATGGAATGCAGTCTGAGAAGAGTTGCGCCAGTAGGCTCGCCTAGTTTCCAGTTGGTGAGGTTCATGAGCTCACTGGGCATTCCCCTACCCATGAAAGGGGAACAGGGACGGATTGTCCAATAAGAAAGGTAAGCACGTGCTTACCAGTGTTTACCACATACGTTGTGCTGGGCATTCGCTTAATCTTGTAGCCTTGAATGCGCAGCACATGGTATGCCATTAGCACGGTAAGCACTGGTAAGCAAGTACTTATCTTGCTTATTGGGTAATCCGTCCTTGTGCCCTGATATATTGACAGCATTGTCATAGGACTGGCCTCTGCACTTAGCAAAATCAATTTTGCAGACTTCACATAAATAGTGAAGTACTTGGTTTGTAATTTCTTCACCGGTAAGGACTCCCTTACCTTGTTAGGTAATCCATCCCTAAAGGGGACACACATTTGGTGTGTCCTATGGGAACAAGGCACTAGGAAAACTTTGCGGCTCCTTGGAGGGATCTTGTCTAGAGTTGGGGGAGATAATTTCCCACCTGCTCCCCCCCACACCCCCGTTGAGGTTCACCCTAAGGAGAGGCCCTGCAGGCCTTCCCCACCCAACCTTCCCTCTAAATAGGAGGAGATGAAAGGGGAAAAGAAAGGCGTGGGGAATTGTTGCTTGGTAGTAGAAGAGAGAAACTGTCTACAGCCCCTTATCTTTCCAGCTCCGCTCTCCAGACCAAGGGAGTCAAAAGGGGGGAAGGGCACCATTCCCCGTCCCTGCATGTTCCTGACCCACAGAGAGCCCCTTACTGGAGGAGGCTCAGCACCTCTTCAGAAAATCCATTTGGGGCCAATATTGCACCCCTGTTTCTCTTTCAGAAAACACCAAGAATTTACTCTGTGGAGCTCAGTGGAACAAAAGACATCAAGAAAATAGACAAAGGAGATGGCAAGGAGAAGTACAGGGGCCTGAAGAACAAGCATTCGAACTGCAATAAGAATCACCAGATACAGGAGATTAAGGAAGAACTTGATCTGGTCAGTAGCCTTAAGTCAATTGGGTCCCACTGACTACTGCCCTCCTGAGAGCTTGTCCCTCTTATGAAAGAAAAATCCTGCTCAAGGGTTTGAAAATTCCATTGAGATTTGTTTCCTCTTTAGGAAAAAAAAAAAAATGTGTGGTAACATCTGCCCCAGAGTCAGGCCCTGTGCAGCATTCCTGTATTCTGCTTGGAGGCACTCCCAGGTAGAACTGAGAGGGGAAAGTCTCCAAGCTCTCTCTTTCCTGGCTGTTTAAGTGAGATATAAATAACCACTTGCCAGTTTTTAGCCAGTAAAGTAAAACTATTTGAACCAGAGCCTATTGAGGAGTGAGGAGGACAACCAAAGCCACTAGACCTTGATAGGTTTCTGGATATATAATACCCCATGAGAAAGAAGGTAGATAGCTAGACAGACATTTAAAAATACAAGCCCTGAAAGGGGTAACCTGTTTTTAAATCCTAGTTTGAGTTAAGCTTTAGTTTCCTCTTTTGTAAAATAGGAATTAAAACTGATGCCTGCCTCTAAATGAGATACAATAGGACACAGAGTGATGTTCAATAAATAGGAATTATTTCCTGTCCATCTCTAGCATTTAAGATTGAAAACATATCTACTCTTTCCTGGAATTGTTATTTACAACATGAATATATGCCCGTCTATTATATGCCTGTTTATTATACTGAAAACTTCCCTTTTTGAGCATTTTGTGGAGATAAATATAATAGAGTGAAAGAATTTCCATAGTATCGGCCAAAGTGTTCTCCTGCTTCCCTGCTAAGAAAGGAGCATCTTTCTTTCTCTCCTTTTCCCCAACCTTCTCATAAGAGTCCTTTAACTTGTGACAGAGTGCTTGGATACTTTTGCATTCGAGCCTCTCCCATGCTTACAACCTTGAAGAAGTGTTCCTCCCTTCTGAACAGGGTTTCTCTAACCAGAGAACTATCTGAGTTCCATTCCTTGAATAAGGAAAGGCATGCTTTTTGGTGCCAGAGACATCCAGTTGGGGCTGCATGGATAAGGAGTTGTCATAACATAGGATCCTGGTTGTTGCTCAAGCAAGTCACTGAATTAGATGCAGTTTGATTTTGCTCACTATCCTCAACTGATCTCAGAATTTAGGTCTGAATTAAGTATCCAAATAGCTAGTACCTAGAAGATAAGTATCTTAGGACTTACATGTGCTGGAGATCAATGGTGAGGTGCTTTACATTACTTTGTTGATGGAAGCTAAGGACAGCTGCTACGTGGTAAGTGACAAATTAAGCCTGAACTCTTCAGAGATGGCCAGAAAGTTCCGTAGCCCATCAATTAGGACAAGACTCTCTTAAAACAGTGCCCTTCCCCTACTGCAACAACCAGCTGACAAAATGGAGTTTTTTCTTTTTCTCCCACACTTCCGGGCCCCTCTCCCATCCTCAGTGCTACTCCCAGCTTTCATGGGCTGGTCAAAGCTCAGAGTTTGGGTTTCTGTTGGAAGTATCTAATTCACTCTGTTCTTCTTCTTTTAATGGATTTCAGGATGCCCATAAACTCAGCATTGTGGACTTGGAAAAGAAATATGGAACAAACATCATTACAGTAAGTTATTGGGAAATAGAGATCAGGAAGAGAAACCCTCTGACCATATAAATGGAAAAGTTGTGTGCTCAGTGTGTGTAGAAAAGTAGATACCACTTTAGGGTGAATGACCTATAGTAGCAACTTTGAGAACACCAGTACTCCACATGCCTATAATGTGACAGAAGAGCTGGCCAACCTCAAGGAGCTGATGTGTCTGAGCCAAGGCCCTTTCACTGAGCTATCTGCTTGGTCATACACAATCTTTTTACTGTGGCTGCGGAAAAACTATGGTATCCCCAGAAAGACACTGATACTTGCCTGGCTGCCACAGTCAGAGATTGCTTTCAATCCCTGTGCGGTGGTATATGGTGCTCTTCTTATCAGAGAATGGGGGAAACCAGTGCTAAAAAGTGAGGATCAAGAGTAACAGTCCTACCCTAAGCTCAGTGGTGAAGTCAATTCCGAAGTTCACCGTTCAGCCAGGTATCGGACAGCCTCATAAAACAAAATGGGACTAATGAGGCACAGCAGTCCAAGGACAAGGACTAGTAGGCAGGAGGAGACAAGAAGGCTGGTGATAGGGAACCCACGGTTGAGAAGGGACAGTGTAGACATGTCATGGGGTTGTTAACCATTGTCTTAGGACAATATGTGTGCTGTTTAATGAGCAACTATTAGGTCTGCAAACCTTCATCTAAGGTACCAAAAAAAAAGAATTATCTATGTGAGATCAAATTGACAACAGCAACTCAAACGATTTGATGGGAAGTCTAGGGGGCAGTGAGTTGAAGATAATTGTGATGGAATAATTTGGAAAAGGATAGTGAGAATAGCAGTACAATTGGAAGAATGTAATCGATGTCACTGAATTGTACATGTAGAAACTTTTGAAATGGTGTAACTTTGGATATGCATATTTTCACCAAAAAAAAAAAAAAAAGGTCCTCCAAGATCGAGAAGGGAAAGTGTTGACATGTCATGGGGTTGTTAACCAATGTCGTAAGACAATATGTGTACTGACTGTTTAATGAGAAACTATTTGTTCTGTAAACCTTCATCTAAAGTACAATAAATATATATATATATGTAAAAAGAGTAACAGTCCTAGGACCCAGTTTGTTCCCATCTTCTCCTTCCAAGAAGGGAGGCTCTCTCCAGGAGCACACTGGTGTGCTCACATGCACTTACAAATGCCACCACCTCAGAAAGTACTGCTTTCTGCTTTGAATTCCAATACAAATGAAAATTCAAGTCTTGGTATCTTGATACCACGAGGTTTAGATATTGAATGTACAACAGAAATACATACTATGTGCAGACCACTGGACTGAACATGGAGAGATACAAACAGGAACAAGTTGATCTCTGATCTTAAGGAGTAAGCAGTTCTGTAGGGGAGGCAGATGTGTACAAAAATATCATAACATCCACTGTATTCCACTTAAATGACAAATGAGAGATTTAAAACATAGCTGAGAGATTGATGACTTCTGATTAGAGGGACCAGAGCAGGCTCCCTAGGTGATACAATGTTTGTACTGGGACTTAGAGGATGATTAGAATTTAAGTTGGCAGAGTACCCAGGGAGCCAAAGTGAACAGAACATGGTTGGACCCTGAGAGCAATCTGGGATCACTGGAACCTAGTGTGTGGAAAGGGAGGAGGTGAGGTAGAAATGAGGTTGGGGGAAAGGTAAATTGGGTGAAACTCTCAAGCACTTTGATATTAAACTAAGGAATAGAAACTATTTTAAGTATATAAGGGGCACAATTTCTAAAAAGGTATGTGATTTGATAAGATTGGTCTTCAAAAGGGAGATGGAAGGGGGAGATTCTAGAAAAATGGGATAGTAATATAGGGCAAAGAGAATGAGATCTGAAACAAGGCAGCAGCAGTAAGATGGGAAGTAAGGGAGCAGACTGAAGAGATGTTTTAGAGAGAGAACCAATAGGAAGGACTTGATGAGGAAGAGATTGCAAGGTTTTTCTGAATGAATCACTTATCAAATTAACCAAGTAGAGAATGCAGGAGGAGAAGAAGATCTGGTCAGGTGGGAGGGTGGGGAGAGGTGAGAGATCAGAGAAGGTAGTAGGGAGGAGATGATGTGTTTTATTTTGAATTTTATTATTTGAAATGTCTTTGGAACACCCAGGTGTAAGTGTTCAACAGTCATTTAGAAAGATGAATTGGGTTCTGGAAAAGGAATGAGAAATACAGGTGGATGATATTAAGTTGGTTACTCTGACTCATTTAGCTATGCTATAAACTAACTTTAAAAGTAGCTGGAAGACTAAAAACAAAAACAAAACAAAACCCATTGCCGTCAAGTTAGTTCCAACTCAGGATGACCCTGTAGGACTGAGTAGAACTGCCTCATAGGGTTTCCAAGGAGCAGCTGGTGGATTCGAACTGCCAACATTTTGGTTAGCAGTTGAGCTCTTAACCACTGCACCACAAATCAGAAAAGCTGGTTTCATTATTCATTAACTTTCACTTATTTTCCTGAAAACAATCAAAATTAATAAACACATCCTGTTTTCAAGAGTAATAAACATATCCTGTTTTCAAAACTAACAAACATATCTGGTTTTCAAGATTGATAAAAATACCGTTTTCAAAACTTTAGAGGTCTTGTAACCAGCACTCACTGATCTTGTGATTGTCTTGTAACTCTTTAGCAAAGTTACATGAATGTCAACCAATCAGAAATTTTGTTCAAAAATTATCCATAGGTTGTTTATGGCTATTACCTTTCAGAAGCAGATCACCCAGGCCTTTTCTTCTGAGGCACCTCTGGGTGGGTTCCAACTACCAACCACCAGTTAGTAGCCAAGCACTGAACTGTTTGTGCCACCCAGGGATTCTATTGACCCTAGAGAGGACCCAAAAATGAACAAGACATCGTCCTTGCCTTTAAGTAGCTCATAATATTAAAAAAAAAATCTATATACAAGACTTTCCAAGTAGAAGATGACCAAAACCCATTGCTGTCAGGTCAGTTTCGGCTCATAGCAACACTATAGTTTGTTGGGGGAAAAGAGTCCTGTGACTGACAGTGCAAGATTTCAAAAGAGGGTGAGCACACCTCCATGCACCTGTGGGCAGCATGCAGCACCAGGGAAGGCTCTGGCAAGAAGTGACTTTGTGTTTGGGCCTCAAAGGTTAGGTAGGATTTGTAACTGTTAAGATGAACAAGAACTCGGGGTAGATATGTACAAAAGTAGAAAAGCACCCGTGTTGTGCTATACAGAAACCACTGGTGGTGGCGCAGGGGTTAAGCGCTAGGCAGTTAACCAAAAGGTCAGCGATTCGAACACCAGCTGCTTTGCAGGAGAAAGATGTGGCACTCTGCTTCCATGAAGATTACAGCCTTGGAAACCCTATGGGGAAGCTCTACTCTGTCCTGTAGGGTAGCTATGAGTCGGAATTGATGGCAATGTCCCAGAAAATGTGATATGTCTTGTCTGGATTTACTGCTTTGCCCTTAACTCTGGTGACTAGATTCTGCATTTCAAATTCCCCTTAGCAGAGATACATCTATCTATAGATAGATCTCAAAGAATTTAAATTCCTTAGCAGAGCATGGTGGTTAAGAGCTTGGACTCTGGAGCCAGGTTACTGGGGTTGAATCTTGGCACTACTGTTTACTACCTGGGTGACCTTGGGCAGTTAATTAGCCTCTATGTGCCTCAATTTCCACATCTGTAACATAAGGATAATAATACCGCCTTCCTCCTAGGGTTATTTTGAGGAGTAAATGAATAAATATGTGTAGAACACTTTAAATCATGCCTGGGTCATATTAAGCATTAAATATTCTTTAAACATGGGGGGGAGGGGGAATTGAGACAATTGTCCACTTGCCCCAGGACCTTCTTTATGCTGGCACATTAACTCCTAACCACAACCTGCAGGAACTGTGATCCACCCCTGAGGGAGAAGAACTGTCTAATTCCTGTTTTGTTTTTGCTTGGCCTTCGCAGGGTCTCTCCAGTGCAAGAGCTGCAGAGCTCCTGGCTCAGGACGGGCCCAATGCTCTCAGCCCTCCCAAGGAGACCCCAGAGATTGTCAAGTTCCTCAAACAGATGGTGGGGGGCTTCTCCATTCTCCTGTGGATGGGAGTCATCCTGAGCTGGATCACATATGGGATTGAGTACTCCAAAGATCCTTCCACACCCCTAGATGACGTAAGGCCCTGGCTGATTCCCCAGATGGCTCTGCTGACTCGCGAAGAGGGGAGAACAAAACCATGAATGTAGGCCTTAGTGGGCAGAGCACTGGACTAGAGTCAGGGCACTGCCACTGAACACTGCATGGGCTGTAGAAAATGAATCCTTGTCCCATGTGTAGAACAGAATTACATCTGACTTCCTAATGTCTCAGAGACAGTGTGGGCATGACTTAAAAAAATAAAATTAGAAAGCACTGTGAGTCCCTAAGGAAAAAAAAAAAACAACTATGTCAATGTGAAGTATTTTTGAGATCTTTCTCCTCAAAGCTAATTCTCTCCTTTAAACATGGAAAGCTTCTGTGCCTGTTGAGAACTGGGTAGCAAAACTACAAAACTGAATTGGCCCATGTTATACTAAAAGAAAGACGCCAGACACAAAAGAGTGAAATGTCCAGAAAAGGGAAATCTGTAGAGACAGTGAACAGATTAGTGGTTATTTGGGGCTGCGGATGGAACAGGGGGCTTGACTGCAAATGAGCACCAGTGAGTGTGCTTTTTGCGGTGATGGAAATGTTCTAAGGCCTGTTTGTTGTGATGGTTGCCCAACTCTGTAAATTTGCTTAAAAAGTGTAAAAAAAAAAAAAATCTAACTAACTAAATAATCCTGAAATAAATAATCATTGAATTGTACACGTAAAACAGGTATATTTTATGGCATGTAAATTATATCATACCAAATGCCATGTGTCTCACCTTTCCATGGAGAGATCTAGCCCTAGGATCTGGCTCATTACTATCATTTGTTTTACTGATTGACTCCTCTCCTCATCACTCAGGTGTATTTGGGTGCTGTGCTTGCCCCGGTTGTTATTTTAACAGGCACGTTTGCTTATTACCAAGAGGCAAAAAGCACCAACATCATAGCCAGCTTCAGTAAAATGATTCCTCAGGTGAGTAGCAGCCATCTTTCTTTTAGCATCTGCAGTACTTTCATATGAAGAAGCAGCAGCTAATGAAAAAAGTGGGGTTTTGGTGGCAGAAGATCTATGCTCAACCCCTGGCCCCATCACTTGCTGTCTTGAGAAATCCTGAGCAAGTAACCTACTCTCTTGGAGTCCCATTTCCTCACAGGGTTTCAAGATGATCAAATGAAATAAGATACAAGACAATGCTTTGTCAAGAACAAAGTAGGACAGAAACATTAGTCATTGCACCACATCTTCTGCTACTGCTCTGAAGCATTTGTGAACCATTTGGACAACATCATTATACAGGTGATTGAGGGAGTAAACTGTAGAAGTTCAGGGAGTGTTCACTGGCAGCCAAACAGATCAACCTATGATTCTTTTTCTGGGACCATTTTGCTCCCATTCCTGAGCAGAGTGCATGTTGCCCCAGATGCTGTCAATGTGGGAAACGAGTACTATCCTCTTCACACAGGACTTCTGCTGTGTGTCCTCTAGGGAGTCCATGCGCCACTGCTGACACAGAACAGGAGAGCTGGGTTGTCCCTAGCCCAAAGAACTGCCAGCCAGAAGGAAAGAGTGTGAATGCAATGGATACCTCCTTCCTTGCTAAAAAGCAGGAGATCTACCTCATTAGATTTTTCCCTACTTTAGCAAGATCACTGGCCCCTTTGGCTTCACCTTCAGTGCTCTTCCTGCACATGACAGCCAGTGTCATTCATCCTTAATTGTCACTCCCTTTCCATCAGGCCTGTGTCTCTTACTTTGCTGTATCTGCTTACAACCGCATTTTCTGGGTCCAAGAGTATCTCTATCAGCTCCTCTTCAAGAAAAACTAGTTCTGGGGGTCTTCAGACTCCAGGTGAAATACTCTTTCATTTTATTTTGTGCTACTCTTAAAGCTATGAATTCTAATCCATTTCTGAGATTTGGCAGAGGTATAAACAAAGGAGGGGGATTAGCATCATTTCAGGATCTGAGACATCTGTCACATTTTTCTTTCCCAGCAAGCTCTTGTCATCCGAGATGCAGAGAAGAAGACAATCCCTTCAGAGCAGCTGGTAGTAGGGGACATAGTGGAGATTAAAGGAGGAGACCAGATTCCTGCAGACATCAGATTGCTGTCTTCTCAGGGATGCAAGGTGAGCAGCATGGGGCGCCCCTAGGGATCAAGCTTATAACTAGTTGGCATCCTATTGGCTTTACTGATTTTAGTATATGTGAAGCAGGAAACATAACTTTGAACATTTTTCAAACTTCTAGGTGGATAACTCGTCTCTCACTGGGGAATCTGAGCCCCAGTCCCGATCCTGTGACTTCACTGATGACAATCCCCTGGAAACAAAGAACATTGGCTTCTATTCTACAACCTGTCTGGAAGGTAAGTCCAGCTGGCTCTAAGGGCCACAGGCACTTCTCCTTCCTTAGGTCTTACATTTTTGTCTTTTTACCTTGTTACGCTTTTCCCAGAGAAAACATGACATATGAAGAGCCTAGAGAACTGATTTTTGCCCTGTAATGTCATGTACCAACTGATCATGTAAGCCACCAAAGAGAGGACTATAAAGCAGATTGTGTTCCTCTCATAGCCAAGGACCCCTGGAATAAAATGTCTGTTTCTCCTATAGGCACAGCAACTGGCATGGTCATCAACACAGGTGACCGCACAGTCATTGGACAAATTGCCTCACTGGCTTCAGGAGTTGGAAATGAGAAGACACCCATTGCCATTGAGATCGAGCATTTTGTTCATATTGTGGCAGGAGTGGCCGTCTCCCTTGGCATTATTTTCTTCATCATCGCAGTGTCCATGAAGAATCCAGTCTTGGACTCCATCATCTTCCTCATTGGCATTGTTGAAGCCAATGTGCCTGAGGGCTTCCAGGCCACTGTCACTGTGAGTCCATGCTGTTAGGTAGCCACCTATACCCTGACATTGTTAACACATAACATCTATGCTAGGTAAGCTTCCACAAGCAAACAAGTCTCTATCTTTAGAGTGAAACTCCTGCTTCATCATGGACAACAATGGAACATTCTGAATAGATCGTTTCTTAGAGGGCCAAAAGGAATTGTGATACTTCTAATACTGGAATGCATTGTCCTTGAAAACTTTCCATTTTTGTTTTCAGGAGATCTATATGTAATTTTGCATGTTACTTTGCTCCTTAAGATCTAGATAAGATAGATTTGAACCATCATTGTTATGATTTAAAGACTTCCTCACAATTCCTTAAAAAAAAAAAAAAAAATTCTTGGCAATTCCAACCTAGGAAGTTAGACACAGTCTGCAAGCCACATGGTTTACCTTGATTCTCTTCTCTCTCTTGGGAGCAAAAACTGAAATTCCTCCCATTTTCATCCTGAAAGCAATTCAGTTCTTTTCTGTCCCTACCTCAGATTCAGATTTAGAGCTCCCTTTGTAAGGGCCACCTAATTAAGTCCATAGTCAAAGCCACCCTCCTTCCTAGTCTCTGCTACGAAGGTCCTGTTGGGGGAGGGAGGAAGGGATTCATATTTCCAGTTACATGTAAAAGTGGCCTACATAATTATTGGTCTTCTATTGTGCTGCTCAAAGACAGAAGAATATTTTGAACTCCAGATTTCTTCTGACTACATGAGAGTGTTATCTGAAGAAATCGTAGCTGAGAAACCCCTTTGAGATCAGGGAGCTTAAAAGAGAGAGCTAAGAGTCTTTAAAATATAAAAAACCAAACCAAACCCTTTGCCGTCAAGTCAATTCTGACTCATAGCAATCCTATAGGACAGAGTAGAACTGCCCCATAGGGTTTCCAAGGAGTGGCTGGTAGATTCGAATTGCTGACCTTTTGGTTAGCAGCCATGCTCTTAACCACTGCACCACCAGGGCTCTGATAAAATATGGAACTCTGAAAATGAAACACAAGTACTTTTTGATTCCCCCAAAGCAACAAGTGAGTCCTTTTGAACAACCTCCTTGGCATATACCAGTGAAAATTTCTCTCACACATTCATCCTTACGAATGACATAGCAGATGGATGGGCAAAGCTCGCTTCATAATTATGCATGAGTACAGGCCATAGCAACCTGGCCTCTGTTTGGCATCTGTGGGTCCCTCAGGATCATTCTCTTCAAAAGATGAAGGGTAAAAAAAAAAATGTTTAAAAAAAAAAAAAATTTTGGCTTATAAGCCTTATAAACCACTAGGTCTGTTGTGCTACATCTGTAACTACTTCTATCCCAAAATTAGTCTAGGTCTCTCCTAAAAGTCAGTCACAGCTAAACTTAGCTAGTATATGTTATTGAAACTGAGTTCAAAGTACTTATTCTTCAACCTATGCTTTTAAAAAATTTTATTTATTTCGTTGTTAAAACATACAGCAAAACATGCAGTAATTCAACAGATTCTACTTGTACAACCCAGTGACACTGATTACATTCTTCAAGTTGTACAGCCATTCTCACCCTTCTTTTCTGAGTTGTTCCTCCCCTGTTAACATAAACTCACTGCCTCCTAAGGTTCCTATCTAATCTTTTGAGTTGCTGTTGTCAAAGTGTCCTATACAGACAGATCTTAAAAGAGCATAATGCCCAAGGCATATATATTTATTGTTGTACTTTAAGTGAAAGTTTACAATTCAAGTCAGTCTCTCATACAAAAATTTATACATACATTGTTATGTGACCCTAATTGCTCTCCCTGTACCATGACGGCACACTCCTCCTTTCCACCCCTGACTTCCCGTGTCCATTCAACCAGCCCCTCACCCTCTCTGCCTTCTCATCTCACCTCTGGACAGGAGCTGCCCATTTAGTCTCATGTATCTACTTGAGCTAGGAAGCACACTCTTCACAAGTATCATTTTATGTCCCATAGTCCAATCTAATCTTGTCTGAAGAGTTGGCCTCAGCAATGGTTTTAGTTCTGGGTTGACAGAGAGTCCAGGGGCCGGGCTTTCTGGGGATCCTCCAGTCTCAGTCAGACCATTAAGTCTCGTCTTTTTACTAGAATTTGAGTTCTGCACCCCACTTTTCTCCTGCTCCATCGGGGACTCTCTGTTGTGTTCCCTGTCAGGGTGGTCACTGGTGGTAGCCAGGCACCATCTAGTTCTTCTGGTCTCAGGCCGATGCAGTTTCTGGTTTATGTGGCCCTTTCTGTCTCTTGGGCTAATACTTTACTTGCGACTTTGGTGTTCTTCATTCTCCTTTACTCCAGGTGAGTTGGGACCGATTGATACATCTTAGATGGCCACTTGCTAGCTTTTAAGACCCCAGACCTGATGCACAACATTTTCTTAATAAACTTTGTTATGCCAGTTGACCTAGATGTCCCCTGAAAGCATGGTCCCCAGATCCCCACCCCTGCTACTCTGTCCCTCAAAGTGTTTGGTTGTATTTAGGACACTTCGTAGCTTTGGTTTAGTCTAGTTGTCCAAGCAGATATTTTTTACTAGTTAAGCTAAACTGTTGTTGGGTTTTACAAAGACGTCAGGGGATATTTCTGGCTTAAGGTTTAAAGATTATCGCAGGGCAATAGTTTTAGGGATTCATCCGGCCTCCATGGCTCCAAAAGTCTGGAATCTATGAGAATTTGTAATTCTATTCTACATTTTCCCGCTTTTGATCAGGATTATTCTATAGAATCTGTAACCAAAATGCTCAGTAATGTCTACCTATGCTTTTTTCAAAAGCTTCTTTCTCTCTCCCGTTTAGGTGATACTGACACTGACAGCAAAACGGATGGCCAAGAAGAACTGCCTAGTGAAGAACCTGGAGGCAGTAGAGACCCTCGGCTCCACTTCTATCATCTGCTCTGACAAGACTGGGACTCTGACTCAAAACAGGATGACTGTGGCCCATCTATGGTTTGACAATCAGATCTTCATGGCTGACACAAGTGAAGACCATTCAAGTAAGTCTTGTGGAACATTCAGCATGGTCCAAAGCTGTGGAGCTGAGCAGAGGGGGTTGAAGTAAACACAGCAGTGTTGGTGTGCGGTGTCTAAGAATCATTTCAGCAGGATGACTATTTGATAGCATGTCCCAGTACCCACTGTCCATTCTTTGTTTTCCAGACCAAACCTTTGACCAAAGCTCTGGAACCTGGGCCTCCTTATCCAAGATAATAACACTGTGTAACCGAGCTGAGTTTAAGCCAGGCCAGGAAAGTGTTCCTATCATGAAGGTAACGCTTCTGCTTAACTTGGTCTTAAATCACAGCCAGTTTGAAGCCCCTTTCTCTGTTCTGATTTGATGTTTGATTTAATCTCTCCAATCAAGTGAAGCTTATATTAACAAGAGCAAGTCTGACTCACAAGATATGAAGAAAATTTCCTTTCTTCTAATTAGCTTTGAGAATTGCACATTTAAAAGTTCTCAGCATATCGATTTAGGTAATTCTGAAAATTCTGTTTCATTCCAGAAAATAAATGTTTCTTTAAGTTACTTTCCCTCCCTAACTTCTTCACCATCCAAGTGGATGTAATCAAGGTTTCTTTATTACATAACTGCTATTCACTGCAGTTTAAAATACAGTTGGATGGAAATTAAGGAACTGGTCTTAGGGCATATTTTCTATGACAACTTTTCTACTTGTCATCTAGGTCAAAACTTTTAGAAGTCATCTTTGACTCTCTCCTTTCCTATATCTAGTGAGTCACCAAGTCCTATCATTTATACTTCAAAATGTATCTAATTTTACGTTTATCTCCAATACCTTTTGTCTGAATAACTATAACAACCTCTTAATTGCCTTCGTGATTTCAGTTTATCCCTCTTCCAGTCTTTCTTGCATGCCAGTCATTTTTCTTAAAAACCACTTTTATCTTCACCTGACTTTGCTGAAAAACTTTCAGTACTTGAGTTTAGAGCTCAGCCTGCCTTTCACAGCCCTCCATAATCTTACCATACCTCCATGTCCATCTTTACCTCCGGCATTCACACTAGAATCCATCCACTTTTATACCTTCACTTGTAGCATCCTAGTTTCTATAAGGCTTTCTTTTTGCTTCTCTATCTATAACCACCCATCTTCCAAGATCTAGTTCAACAGCTGCTTCTTCCATGAAACATCCCAGTCCTCACTGAGCTCCAGTTTCTTTGAACTTCTCTAATGCCAGTAGGTGGCACCATAGTTGTCTTAATCATTCACTAATTGTCATAATCATCTTGTCTCTCTTGCTGGATTGTAAACTCGGTCAAAATACAGGTTGGTTCATGTGCTAAAGGCAGGTTGGTTCATTGCGAACAATCACAAGAACCAGATTATCTGCTGCAAATATTTATTTCCTTGAATTCCCAGAAAATTGTGATTGGAGATGCCTCAGAAACTGCTCTCTTGAAATTCTCAGAGGTCATTTTGGGTGATGTGATGGAAATTCGAAAAAGAAACCGCAAAATAGCTGAAATCCCCTTTAACTCTACCAACAAATTTCAGGTGAGTTTTTCCTCACAACTGGCCATTTTTGTTATCACTAGAATGATTTTTCTATCTGCACATATCCTTTGGGTAGTACATATCTTGAATGATGCCTGACTTCAAAAATAACCCTCAGGGATACAGGGCCTGGGCAGCTGGTAAACCGAGATCAAGTTTCCCTTGATGGCTTCCTTCCTTTCCCTGAAGAAGGATAGAGAAGAAAAGAAAGGTGAGGAGCGCGTCAAGACCTGGCTGCTCCTATGCATGATCCCATTATATTACACACACACACACACACACACACACACATAATACATATGTATTTACATACATATACCTAAGAAAGACAAACCAGGTGCCATGGAGTCAACTCTGACTCATGGCAACACCATGTGTGTCAGAGTAGAACTGTGCTCCATAGGGCTTTCAAAGGATGATTTTTTTGGAGGCAGATCACCAGGTTTTCTTCCGAGGTACCTCTGGGTGAACTTGAGCCTCTGGCCTTTAGGTTATCAGGACAACACACTAATCGTTTGCACCACCCAGAGACTCCCATACACACACACACACACACACACACACACACACACACACACACACACACCTCCCCCTACACACACACACCAGCTTCTTGTATTAGGAGGAGGTGTGTCTCTAGTAAATCAAATGCTGGTGACAGATCCTGACTTTATTTAAAGTAACTTCTGTATAAGTGAAAGGCAACAGCCTAAATGAAAGGGAGAGGGGAGGGGGCGGAACTAACCTCACTATGCACCTAGTATGTGTCAGGCACTTTACCTACATTATCTTATTTAATCCTCACCATAAGCCTGTGAGGTAGTACTAATTAATCCCAATTTATAAATAAGGAAACAGGCACTTAAACAAGTGTTGACTTGCATTTCTAAGCGGCACAACCAATTTTCAGAACAAGTCTGCCTAACTGCAGAGTCCATACTTCTCTACTGCAACACAAAGGCAGAGCAATTTCATTTTGCTCCATGTGAGTAAGCCTCACCCTTTGTAAAAACAAGTGAATAGTCTCTCAGATGATCGGTCATATTCTTTCCGATCCGTCCTGTAAGCAATTGATAGGGACCTCCTTTCTACTCACTGTGCAGGAAGAATATAGCCAGCCTTGTCTAGAGGTCTCCTGTCACTCCAGGGGTGGTCAGCAACTGTCCCCATCTTCCTCTTCTGCACAGGAAAAGCAACTGCTAGTAGCCCAAGATACTGCTGCAGATGGGATTTCCCATACAGTCCAGAGCTGAGAGCAGGGGATCATGACTTGGGCTTGGCATAACAGTAAGGCATGTAAATAGACTAACCGTGCTTTTGTAAAGTTTCTGGTGATAATCCATCCATCTTTGTTTGGATACAATTTACGGTTGGAAAAGGACCGTTGCAAACATTTTGTGGGTTGTTGTTGCTGTTGTTGTCAGGTGCTGTTGAGTCGATTTCAACTCATAGTGACCCCACGTGACAAAGTAGAACTACCCCATTGGGTTTTCTGGGCTATAATCTCTACGGAGAGCCGCTGGGTGGGTTTGAATTGCCAGCCTTTTGGTTAGCAGCCGAGCGCTTAAACGTTGTGCTACCAGGACTCTTTTCTTTGTGGGTAACAGGCCAATAAAGAATCACAGTTAGCTAAGTAGGCAACTAACAAAAAATTATGATGCAAAATATTAAAGATAGGAACTCTCATTCAAAACACAAATGAAAATAGAATGAGTAGCAATCCTAAAATAGCAATAGTTAGTATTAGCTATTATGTGGTAAGCATTCTACATGTGTTAAATCATTCAGATTTTACAACTCTATGGAGCAGGTACTAATATTCTTCCCTCCTGCAGATGAGGAAATGGAATTACAGAGTATATCACACAGCTAGTAAGGGATAGAGCCAGGATTCAAATCCAGGTAGGCCATGCTCCTGAGGACTATGTTAGATTATCTTCCAAGATTCAGAATCATAAGGAGGCACCATTTTACCACAGTAAAGACATTCCTAGTCTGTGAGAAATGAGAAAGAAAGCATGAGGCCTGCGCTTTTTCATCTACAGAAAATTAAAGGAGAAAGTGGGCCATGCAGAGTTGGGACTAAAAAGAAGGGAGGGCCCCTGTGTGGGCTCCTCTGAAGAGGTCAAAGAAACTTCTTTAGATGCTATTAGAGCCATGCAAAGACGCTACAAAAGAGCAAAGCTCCACCCTAAAAAAAGAGCTGTAGAGATCATTATAAATTCTTTGGTGTGCCATTCAACTGAAGGAAAAATGGTGAAAAGTCTCACTGATCTTAATAATATTTCCCCAACTGAGACTCCCAAAAAAACAAATCTGTTGCCATCGAGTCGATTCTGACTCGTAGCAACCCTATAGGACTGAGTAGAACTGCCCCACAGAGTTTCCAAGGAGTGGTTGGTGGGTTCAAACTGCCGACCTTTTGGTTAGCAGCTGAGCTCTTAACCACCGCACCACCCGTGCTCCAAAAGACTGAGACTAGTCTATGAAAATACTTCAGTAATCTATGGCAAATTGGAAAATGAACCAACAATGTGATAAGTTATATATAAGAATGAATTTATTTAATTTAAAAGCTTGTCCTTTATATCATTCATGGTTAAGGCCAGGGACTCTAGAGCCTGGTAGCCTGGGTTCCAAATCTAAGTTAACACCTACTAGTTGTGTGACCTCAAGCAAGTCAGTTAACCTCTCTGTGCCTCAGTTTCCTCATCTGCAAAAAGGGATAATAATAGTACCCACTGCCTTCAGGTTGTCTTGAGTATTAAATGAGTCATGTGTGAAGCACTTAGAATAGAACCTGCCACACAGTACACACCGTAAAAACGTCTGCTATTAGTATTCCTACTTTTTACCTTTTAAAATGCGCTATCTTTTAGATAATGATGGTGATAAGATGGCAGTTTTCTTTGTTTAGTATTTTTACTTGTTCATAAAAAAAGTTTTCACTGGCCAATTTTTTCAGAAGTAGACTGGCCCTCTACTTTTTTTTTTTTTTTAAATTTTATTCATCTCTTTTGTGCAGTCGTGCTGCCACAGTGGTTAAGAGCTCAGCTGCTAACTAGTAGGTCAGCAGTTCAAATTGACCAGCTGCTTCTTGGAAACCCTATGGGGCAGTTCTAGTCTATCCCATAGGGTTGCTGTGAGTCAGCATCAACTCAATGGCAACAGGATTGGTTTGTTTTGGTTTAATATCCAATGGTCCAAAACTACTGATTAAGAATCAACTGATGGACCCAAAATGGTAGAAATTTTCTTTGTAGTTGACTTATTTTCTTCCAAACGCTCTAGCTTCCAGAAATTCCTGTTGAGTGCTTGGAAGACTACCTGGAATGTAATAAGGGCTATGTAAGGGTTGGAGCCCTGGTGGCACAGTGGTTAAGACGTATGGCTGCTAAACAAAAGGTCGGCAGTACAAATCCACCAGCCGCTCCTTGGATACCCTATAGAGCATTTCTACCCCATCCTGTAGGGTTGCTATGAGTCAGAATCGACTCTGGCAACAGGTTTTGTTTTGTTTTGTTTTTTGGATATAAGGGTTAGCCATTTTATTATTGCGATCATTAAGGATATGTGTCAACTTGGCTGGACCACGATTCTCAGTGGTTTGGCAGTTATGATGTAGTCTGGCAGTCATATGATGATGTGATCACTTCCATGATGAGACTGATTGAATGCAATCACCTCCATGATGGGATCTGCTGTGAGTAGCCAATCAGTTGAAAGGGAATTTCCTTGGGGGTGTGGCCTGCATTGAATACATAAGTGAACTTTCTGGCAAGACTCCTGGGCTTTTGCTCACTCTGGATCCTGCAGCTGGCTCCCGACATCCGGTTCTTGGGACTTGAGCTAGCAGCTTACCTGCCGTCTTGCTTGCCGATCTTGGGATCTGTCGATGTTCCCAGCCTCTGAGCAAGAGCTCTGCTGTCTGACCTGCCAATCTTGGGTTTGCCAGCCCCTGCGGCTATGTGAATTAGGAGAAGCCTCTGTCCTGACCCACGGACTTGGGATGTTCAGCCTCTGCAACCACGTGAGCCATTTCCTTGATATAAATTTCTCTATATATATATATTTATACATTTTACTGGTTTTGCTTCTCTAGAGAACCCAGCCTAAGACATTTGGTACCAAGAGTGGGGTGCTGCTCTAACAAATACCTAAAATGTGGAAGTGGTTTTGAAACTGAATGGATAGAGGATGGAAGAGTTTTAAAGTGCCTAATGGTAAAAGACTAGATTACCTTGAAGAAGACTATTGGTGGAATTATGGACATCAAAGACAATTCTGATGAGGACTCAGAAGGAAATGAGGACAGCTGTTATACTCGAGACAGCACAGACGGCAAGAAACAGCAGCAGAGAAATGGCAGCCACAGAACCAGGGGACCAGTGCGAGACAGCGCTGGAGCTGGAGCCCATCCATAGAGCGAAAGAGCTGAGTGCCTTTGCACAGAAGGCTTCCTGGTGGTGTAGGGTGCCTCCAGGTACTTATTGGTGGAGCTAGGTTTGCCGAACCACAGAGCAACAGAGCTGAGTGCCTTCTGGCCAAAGTTTACTGCCCTGGTAGGGCAGACGTGAGCAGTGAGGCCCGAAGGACCGAGAGGCCAAGGAACCAGGAAGCAGAAGCCGAAGAGACAAGGAACCAGGAAGCAGAACTGCCTCAGTCTTAAAGGGTAGGGTCACTACCTCTGGGGTCTTACAGGGTGGAGTCACCACTCAGATGGACTAGGAGAATGGGGCCACCCAAAGCTGAGGGAGCAGAGTTGCCATTCCACTGGGCCTGGAAGGTGGAGCTGAAGCTCAGTCCCAGAATCCAGAGCTTGTGTCCAACACCCAGAGTCTGGAGAGCAGGGCCATTGCCTAAATGGTGTCAGAGAACAGAGGATTATTTTCAAGCCTTGAGGGCTAATGTACTGTGTTCTGCTAAGTTGTTTGGTGCCTATTATCCCTTCTTTCCCACCAGTTTCTCCCGTTTGTAATGGAAATGTCTAGCTTGTACCTGTTCCACCATTGTACTTTGGAAGCAGATAACTCGTATTCTAGATTTCACAGATGAAGAGGAATTTTTGGAATTGGACTTGGACTTGATTTAGACTTTTGCCGTGATACGATGGGGTGAACGTGTTTTACACGTGGCAAGGACGTGAATTTTGTGAGGCCAAAGGCCAGGATGCTATAGATTGAATGGTTCCCCCCAAAAAATGTATGTCAACTTGGCTAGCCCATGATTCCCAGTCTTGTGTGATTGTCCGCCATTTTGTCATCTGATGTGATTTTCCTATATGTTGTAAATTCTACCTCTATGATGTTAATGAGGTGGGATTAGTGGCACCTATGTTAATGAGGCAGAACTCAATCTATAAGATTAGGTTGTATCTTAAGTCAATCTCTTTTGAGATATAAAAGAAAGAAGCGAGCAGAGAGACCTGGGGACCTCAAACGACCAAGAAAGCAGCGCTGGGAGCAGAGCGTGTCTTTTGGACCTGGGGGTCCCTGCGCCTGAGAAGCTCCTAGATCAAGGGAAGATTGATGACAAGGACCTTCCCCCAGAGCCAACAGAGAGAGAAAGCCTTCCCCTGGCTCTGACGACCTGAATCTGGACTTCTAGCCTGCTAGACTGTGAGAGAATAAATATCTCTTTGTTAAAGCCATCCACTTGTGGTCTTCCTGTTATAGCAGCACTAGATAACAAAGACAATTATTATGTATATATTTTTCACAATTTTTGATTATATTATTAGGATACATCTAGAAGTAGAGTTACTAGGTCAAATGGTATTCGTGTTAAAATTGTGATACCTATTACTTAACTGTCCTCCAGAAAGTTTGTGCACGAGAGTGTCTGCCTCCTTACGCTCCCGCCATTTTCTCTGACATCAAGGCAGCAAAGCTGGATCAATTGCAAGATGAAGAGGCACAGGGAATTCCTGCTGACCTCATGCCTGCCTAAGCTCAGAGTAGTTGTGTCTGAAAAAGTGCTGCTCACAACAGGGAAGGGGAGACAGGAGGTGAGATGCGGAGGCTCAGAGCCCCCACCCCTCTCTAGAGCACCTCAGGGGATCTCATTCAAGGCCCAAGATTTCACGGACTGACAGCCGTATCCGGCCTTCGTGACCTTCTCTAAAGCAACCACTTTCTGTCTGAAAGACGAGCTCCACTTAGTTTGGTTTCAAACTCAAGGTGCCTCTTTGAGCTGGGGCCAAGTCTAGATCTCTGCATATTGCTTGGCCACAAGACAGAGAATAGAACATGCCTGGGGATGTCATTGTTCCTCTTCCCTCTTTATTTTTCAAGGACAAGTAGCCCAACAAGAGTAAGGGATGTTTTTACCTTCCTGTCATGTTAGTAATTAAAAGCCTTGTACAGTTCACAGCCCTAGTAATGAAGATGGAATCAATAGTAGACAATATGCTGTGTCTAACATGCTCCATTATTTCTCTCCTCCCAGCTCTCCATCCATGAGACAGATGACCCCAATGACAAACGCTTCCTCATGGTGATGAAAGGGGCCCCTGAGAGGATCTTAGAGAAGTGCAGCACCATCATGATCAACGGCCAAGAGCAGCCCCTGGATGAAAGCACAGCCGAGGCCTTCTACACAGCATACACGGAACTTGGAGGCCTGGGCGAGCGCGTGCTGGGTGAGCTTTTGGAGCAGAACTCTTATCTGTCACCCGACAGATGCAAGGTTCTGACCCTCGGTCAGGGCACAAGACGAGGCAGGCAACTCTGAGTAATGTATTATTTTGTAGAGTAGTTACAGCATCCACATGAATAATACTAAGAAGAATACGATAAACACGAGGGTAAACATATAACAAAAACATATATGACAGTACAGAGAACAGTGGGGTCACTTTCAATAAATAAAATCAGGGAAGATTTTATGGAAAGAGTTTCATTGTAAACTGGGCCTTGAACGGCAGATAACATTTTGAAGGGAGGTTGGGAAAAGTATTGAGGGAAGAGAGAACAACGTGAGCCAGAGCACAAAGGCAGGACTGGATAAGGAAAGGTAGGCAAGTATTGCTGAACCGGCCTACTGGTGCTGAGTGTTGTAGGGGGCATGAGATATCATAGTCATAGTCATAGCATAGTCATAGACGAGAAAGCTAGACTGAGTGGGCAGGTAAGGAATTGGGGTTTCACTCTGCAGTTAGCGGAGAGCTGTCGAAGGCTTCACATCAGGAATGAGCTAATCAAAGTTTTGGTGTGTTTTTAAGGATGATTTTTTTTTTTTTTTGACAGTAGCACGTAAGATGGGTTAACAGGGAGAGGAGAGGCATCCGTCTAAGGAGGAGGTGGCTGCCCTCATTCAGGTGAAAGGGGATGGGAATTTGCGCCAAGGCAATGGGAATGTGAAGGAGGGGTCAGATGCAAGAGACTTCATGGACATAGATTGGTAATACTTAGCACCTAATTAGAGGAGAAAAGTACATTTTAAAAAAATGTCTACATGAGTAGGAAAAAAAGTAATGCCAGTAACTGAGAGAGGGAATGTTGGAAATTTAGAAATACCACCATTGTGGAGGAGTCTATTCGAGGTTATTTAAGATTTTAGGGGACAACATGTTCCATCGTGAGAGTCATGGGCTGATCAAAGGACACCTGCCCGGAACAACAGAATGATAAATTTAAGGTTAATGATGAGGGTCATTAAACATTAAAGATCTTGCCAATAGAGATGCTGGAATCTGTGGAATGTGTGTTTCTAAAGGATGTTTGAGTTTGTAAAGTAGATAAAATATATAAATGAGATGATAATACTTTAGCATGCTCTAAATGCTCCACAAGACTGGGTAATCTCCTTTGCAACACAGGATAGATATCGATCTGAGTAGAGTAGCTCTAGGAACCTCACATTTGACCTCTCAAAGCCTATATTGATATTTGTAAAATAGTGAGCCATGCTGAGAGTAAATCAACTATAAATCTAACGAGAAGATCACAAGGTCTGAGAAGTCCCAACAGTCACAGAAATCCCTTCTACCTCAACTTGGAGAGGCTGATGCCTTCAGGGAAATAAAGGGGTCTACCCCGTTCCTAATAGCCTTTCTCTCATGCTTATCTGGATTAAAGACTGAACTTCAGACTATTCCCCTAATGCCCGAAGTTCTTTCCCAACTTTGTGCAGGAGCATATGCTGTTTTCTCTGCCTAAAATGGCTTTTCCACTCCTAATCCTCCCTTCTTTCTCTGAAAACATCAACTCCTCTCTCAGGACCCAGCTCAAATGTTACCTCCTGGGTAAAGTCTTTCCGGACTCCCCAGGTAGCTGTAGTGTAGCTAAACTCTGTAGCACTGACTATGTTTTATTATACTTTATCTCTTTATCTCTCTGTCCACCAAACTGGGACATCTTCAGAAGTAAAGCCTTGGTCTTTATATCCATACAGTATAACATGGATCCTAATGGGCACACAATAAATGATTTTTTGGATGAAATGCCTTTTCTAAAACCATGCATTATAGAATTGAAGGAATTAAACAGTTCTGGTATACTATAATATCAAAAAGTAACTCTAATACCATAATGGTAAAATATGAAAGGACTGTGAGTATATCAAAATGTTCCCCTATTTTCTTTTGTCATGTCTTATCCTAGTTTCATTAACCCCCCCAAACTCATGCCCATTCCAGGTTTCTGTCATCTCTACCTGCCAGCAGACGAGTTTCCAGAAACCTACTCCTTTGACATAGACACCGTGAACTTTCCCACCTCCAACCTCTGTTTTGTGGGGCTCTTATCGATGATTGATCCACCTCGGTCCACTGTGCCTGATGCAGTTACCAAATGCCGGAGTGCTGGGATCAAGGTGGGAGTCATTTTCCTGACTCAAAAATTTCCCCATATATGTTGTATCTCTTGTGTCATAGAAGATGGACAGTATTTAGGTCTCCTTACATTAATATCATAATTCCCTTCTTTTATCTCTCCTTTGACTTCCTTAGGATTTTAATAACTGTGCCATTAAAATGAAATGGTTGTGTCTATGTGGAATAAACCACAACAGTAATAGCAGTGAGAAGAAGGCTATCTCCCCTTGCCACGGAGAGGCCATATCTTGTCCTAGACCATGGCCATGGTGGACAATTAAAGGTTTTATTCCTTAGTCTTGAGATCCAGCCTCCAAAATCCATTTATCTTCATGATATCTAAGCCAAAATTGAGTCCTGTCACCATGTTAATATCAAGACAGTTGAAGAAATGTGGGGCTGCTCCAAATAGACATCTGTCAGCCCTTTCACAAGCAGTGTGATAGCAAAGGGAAAGGGCTTACTCTAATGTCAGAGGAGGAAATGTAAGAAGCTCAGGAGCAAGGGTTGATCCAACGGGATCGGTTTGTCCTTGAGAGACGGTTGTGTCTCAAATCAAGAACTGCCCACGAGGGCAAACCGTAATAATCACAAGCCATATTCTTCCAAGTCACGGTAGAGTAGGCAATATTGAATTGTTCCTACCTTAGCTGGCCTAGTTCCTCATTGTCCATATGTCTTCCTCATTGTGCTCTAGGTTATTATGGTGACAGGTGATCATCCGATCACAGCTAAAGCTGTTGCCAAGAGCGTAGGTATCATTTCAGCAAACAGTGAGACAGTGGAAGACGTTGCGAAACGCCTCAACATTGCTGTGGAGCAAGTTAACAAATGGTAAGCGCAGAAACTGAAGTTCTTACACATGGGGCCCTAGTGATGCTAAGGAGCTGTGTTAGTTGGAGCAAATCACCTTCTGGCAAAACACCCTCTCAGGGTGACGCTAGACTGATTTGCTCTATAATTCACATATCTATTCATTCACTCAAAACTTTACTAAGCACCTAATATGTGCCAGGCACTATATTCACACTCATGAATTACCCTTTGTGTCTAAATTTCACAAGCCAATGAAGCAGATCTGACAACTTGTGCCTAATTTAGAGTGAGAAAAACAGAAACAAAAGTGTGTATGAAATTACTTGCCATTGATCTAGTTGTATAATCAGGACTATTAAGAACCCATTGGATTTCATGCAGTCTCCTACTGAGCGTCTTGGGTATTATCTATTCAGTTAGCTTCATAACGTGCAGCTACGTAAACATATTCTTCATTTCTTTTTTATCTGGTTGGAAATAGAATGGAAGCTTCCTAAGGAGAGACTCAATTTTCCCTTGTTTCTCCTAATTCTATTATGCTTGTCAATCCTTTTTTCTATCCGTCTATGCATTTATCCACTTATGTATTAATTCTTTTTAACAAGTATTTGTTGAATGCCGACTATATACCAGGCACTGTGCTAAACACTGGAACTGTAGTAGCAAACGGGACAGACACTATCCCTGCCGTCGGGGAGCTTTCAGTCTAGCCAGGGAGACATTAAAAAACAACTGATTGTGGTGTGATGAGTATAATGAAGGAGACATGCAGGGGACAGTGGGGCTGGAAGTGGGAGGAGACTAACCTGGACTGGAGTGGTCAGAGGGGGCTTCCAGGATACGGTGTTGATAATTTAGATGCATCAAAGACTCCAAAGTCTCAAGTTAAAAATAAATATCGTTGGCTTTGTTATACTTTCATGCCTGTGGGGAAAAAAGGGAAAGACCAATGAATCTCTTCTAGTTTACCCAAGCATTTATGTTCTTTAGGAATACAGGGATGTCAGATAAATAAATTATTACTAGGGCAACAAATGACCAAGTAAGAAAACCAAACAGAATTGAAGTCCCTGGGCACAGCAACAATATCAAAGGTCTAAGAGTCTCCAAGGCCCCTTTGTATAAATAACATTTACAAAGCCAGATTTTGGATAATTTGTTTATTTGTTTGGTCGTTGAAAATAATAGGATTATACATTTTCATACAAGTCACCATACTGAATGGGAGAGTGAGATAGATAACTTCGTGAATGTTTTCATTTAATCACTTTATCACATCTAGCTTCATGACAGTATAACTGCGTTTTGTCAGCTGTAGAGGGAAAGGAAACACCCTGTCCTTCTTATCTTACACACACACAGACACACACACACACACACACACGCACGCACACACACACGTGTATATTTACCAGCAGTTAGGAAGGCCTGTCGTTTCAGAATCAAGGGCTAGAATTCCAGCATTTAGCACCAAGAGGAAAAAGCAGGACTAAAAAGCTCGG